AAATGCCAACTGATACCATCATGTGACTGTAGTTGTCTAATCATGTATGTAAAGTTCTAATATGTATCAATCATGTGTCAATAACTGATACATTAAAACAGAACCCTCCAAATCGGGCTTGCGGCCAACAAAGGGACGGCGATGCAAGCTTTGGCTGGAAGCAGACCAAGAGAGCAAAGCCCTAGGGCTAGCTCAACAGGCCAAGTCAAAGCAACACGCTCGCGGACACAAGAACAGGCCAACACAACAAAATAAGAACGTTTGAGCAAAACACAAAACAACACGACACAAAACAACAAAGACAACACAAAACAACAAAAAACACAACTGGGCTGTCCTCAGATCCCGACCAAAAGATTAACTTTTAGTGGGCTGAATGGAAATCCCCACTAAACACTAAAAAGCCAAACAGCTAAGGAAGCGGATGGCTGGGAACCACCAAGACAAACAAGACGAAACAAGACAACACTAGCCAACGTCACAGGCTGCACCCGGGGGACCCTGTTGTTTTCAACCACAAGCATGTCTTTCGACCTCCATTTTACCACAAGCTGGGCCAAAACAAGTCCAAACTGTGCATTTACCGCTACAACGGCCCAACCCCAAACAAAGTGTAAAGTTCATCAACTCAATGAAGCGCAAAAACCACAAACAAGACAAAACCACAGCCGCAACATCACGGACCGAAAAAGGGCAAACCGAAAGGCGAGCTGAGTCACAATCAAAACCCGAATGGTCTACCCAGAACCATGCTTCAGGAATTAAGAAGGTGGAATTCCGCAGCATTTGTGGCAAGGGGATCGTCCTCTACTAAGCTTCATCTACCAAAGGGCTTTGATTGTCAGCTGAGGTCCAGTCGCAATTTGCAACCGAGTTACTCCTGTGCAGCTTGAAGACCAAGAGCCTAATTTTTCATTTTTCCCATCCGATAGCATCAGTCGCAACCCAAAAGCAAAGCCAGGGGCAAGCAGTGACTGCAAAGGTAAGGGAAAATTGGTCCCTTTTTCGGGGTCAATTGTGTTGTGGAACCCTTTGGGTTGAGACTTTTGTGGCACGCATTTTCTGGGCTTGAGCATTTCTAGAGGAGAACCCAAGAGATAAGGGTGGAATCGACTGAAGAATTGGCCAACTGTGAGGCCAACCTAGGCCTAGACCGAATGCCTCAATGCCAGAGCTACTGCGGATGGGCGAAATCCTGCAGCGCCTAGAAAAAGCTTGGAATGGTTCGGCTCCCCAACGTAAACACCAGCCAAAATGATTTGTTTTTTCTATCAACCATGGTTTCAAAGTGGTGCGAGAAGCGGATTTCGCGAAACCATCTACAGTAGCTTTGAGGTTATGTTTGCGGGGCCTTTGGCCAGGGCAGGGCAAGGCCCTTGAGATTCTTCACACTGATTCTTCGATTTCTTTTTGAGCCGCCTGGGAAAATGGGAAAATATGTCCAGTGGTGAAATCGATTCCCTTTAAAACCACCAGGAGAAAATATAAAAGAAGCATATTCCTGTCAGCAAATGGAAACTCCAGACTGACATGAGCTAACATGAGCCAGAGTAGTCAGTCCCCTTGCTGGGTCTGCCTTGGAATCTCAACACGTCTGGGAAGCCAAAACATGAACTCAAATGGGTTGCCGCAGTGGATGCGAACTCAATATTCCAAAATGGGAACCAAGGGGAACTTTGTGAAACTCCATTGTTTGTGGTTTACTAAAGCAATATATCTTGGTTGACGCTGGGTTTGGGGAGCAAAAAAACTCATTTTTTAGCAGTTAAGTGGTTGGATTTCAAACACTAAACCACCATAAGCAAAAATGGGAAACATGTTTCCCAACGACAACCATGGTTGCACCAAGCGAAACTCAGCTTCCTTCTATTTGGTGGTTTGGAACCGATCCGCTGGTTCGGAAAATCCAAACCACCAATTAGGGCGACCCATGATATAGGGCATCCATCGTCCCGCCCATCATCCCGCCCCGAGCGAGGATGGCCTAAGGGGTGTGGCACCAAAGACCGAATGATGAGACCGACTTGGAGCAACATGTCGGCTCAGTCGCAACAGGTGTGGCTTTTGCATTTTTGAGTCGGGTACTGTTTTTTTTTGTAGTTCTAAAAGGAAACCAAAAGGAACACCAGCATTTGTAGGTTCCTTGAGAGAAAGGACACCCTCAAGAAATGCAGGGCTTCACGCCGGGCAACCCCATTCCGGAAACTGAGTTTCTCACTTTCCCGGAAACAAAGCCTTTTCTTGCCCCTGAATCGGCAGGCTCAAAACTAATAACATAGGCATGTAACATAGGCAGATTCATAGAAACCAGCTGCAGGAAGTTCTACACGAAACGGGCCGAAGACTCACAGAAACAGCAAAGCAAACGGCTTCCCTGAAGTTCCTTGTTGCTAGCATCCCTTCAACAAAACAAAAGCCCGGTGTTCTGCGCGTTTTGCTGTCGCGCGCGCGGAAAGCGCTTTCCGTGCGGCGAAAGCTCGGGCTCCGGCATGATGCTGGTCAGGTGCAACATGTCACCGCAGAAGCGAAAGATGTTCATGGCCTGCTGCTCAGCCGCTAAAAAAGACCCCTGACATAGCTTGCTGGTGCGATAGGCAAGGAATGAGAAATGGAACGGCCCCTAAAAACCATCCAGCTGGTGGTGTCCTTTAAGGGGAAAAGGAGTGTCCCAACATGGACCCCATTTGGCTGGGGGGGAGGTGTTAGAAAGCTGTTAAAGAGTGGACTGTGGATGGGCCCAAATCCATGTCGCACCAGCGTCCATAAACCATGGTTGAAACTATAACGCTTAAGTTAGTAGTTGCGTTGAGGAATCGAACCAGAAACCAGGGGTTTTGAACTGTGGTGTGAGAAGCGGACCAACTGCAAGTTAACCATCTGCAGATTTTACGATATTTCCAAGCCCTAACCCGGAATCCCTAAGCAACGAATCTTTATCATGGCTTTCGCGCGTGTCACCACCAGATCGGTGAGCTCGCCATAAATTTGGCAGAACTATTCAAACCTTGCACCACCGTTCAGAAACCAAAAGGTGTCTGATTCGATTCCCTGGTAAGTACCGTAGCAAACGTCCTGGTGTCAGCCATGGCTTCTCGGTGATGCGAGAAGCGGACTTCGCAGCCATCCAGAGTCCGGGCCTGGCCTCCGGTGTCGGGCGCGCCCACCTTCACAAGTCACCTCAGCAACGTGCCCTGCCTTTCCCTACTGGTTCCCGGCGGTTCCCCTGTTGGCCTATGGCTTCCCTATGGTTTCTACCCAAAAAATACCTAGACTCTCCATGACCCGTTAAAATTGGGTCCATGACCCCATTATTTTAGGTAATGACCCCATTTTCTAAGGGTCATGGAGACTCCAGGTAAAACTTGGATGTTCAACCCAAGCAGGCAAGCAGCTTCAAGCAGGCAAGCAGCTTCAAGCAGGCAAGCTGAACATCCAAGAACGGAGCATGTGTATATACTCAGTCTATGGTGTCTGATCCGTGGTGGAAAACTATGCAAAACAAGCCTCCCAACCACGCAGATCTACAAAACAGAAATGCACCCACATCGAGTTGGGGGGGGGGGCTCAGTGAGTGTGTTTGGGCCCTCTGCCGCGCAAACCCATGACCATTGCCCTGTCGGGACCATTTCTTTGGCGGGTCCCATGGCAACCTGGACAGCAGGGTATCACCTTCCATTTGGTTAAGAACCCTGGAAAAAATGTCCAGTAGTGATAAGTTCCTTTCAAAACCAACAAGGGAAAATTAAAAGAAAATATTAAGCAAATGGAAGTCACTGAGCGAAGGTTTTAAGGAGCCCTGGATAAGAACCGGGGCAAACTTTACAATTCCAACACCTGAAATGAGACTTGGGTCCTTCGACCTTCATCAAGGGTGTTCGCTCGTTTTACCCTCTTATATTTGTGGCAAATGGTTGCAAAATGTATCTTTTAAGGAGCTTTGAGGTGCATCCCCTTTTCCCTTCTGAGGCCACGGCGTTTGCCTTTGGGCGCTCTTTCGCCAACACTTTCGCGCTTGGAGCCAAGCGCGGCGCGAGCACCCCACCCCACTTGTTAAGCTCGAAAACGGGCTTGGATTTGCACTTGTTGCGCGGATGTCACGGCTTTCTACGTGGATTTGTGCCTGTTCTTTGTGTGGATTTCACCAAATTGTCTTGTTGGTCCTGTCTTTAGCAACATCTTTTAGTACTCTTTTTTAGTATTCTACAGGTTGGTGGATCCAACCTGATTGGCTGCTTCTAAAGCGTATCTTGAGTTCACGCTCGGAACAAAGCAACCCCCGCAACCCCCCCCTGTGGAAGGGGTATGAATTTTAAGTGCCCCCGTGAGAACCCTTTGAACCTGACCGCGAACGTCCAAGAAGACATTCTTCCTGATGGGTTCGAAAGTGGGTAGGGCAAGGGACCCCCAGAGAACCGTAGCCTCTCCAAACATGAGCGGTAAACCAACGCCCCTCTCCCCCAAACTTTGAGGCCTAAGGCGTGTCTTGGCTTTAGACCAGAGTTTGTCTCAGAGTTAGCTTTGAACTTAGCTGCTTGATTCAGGGGAGCTTCGCTGGGCTGACCTTTTTTCAAACATGTTTAAAGTTTGAAGCATGTAAACAACATTTCGGAACCACAGAAACAACTGGAACCAACCGAACGACCACTAACAGGGGTCATTGGATTATGCCAAATCAAAAGTTGATGAATTTGTCCTGGTTTCCACTGAAACGATCGACCCTTCAAAGGGAAATGGCTCGGAAATGGCGCCCCATCGGGCCTCAGGTCGGATGAGATTGCCCCAGCACCCGGCCCCTAAGTGCTCCAATTGGAAAGGTTACAAAACAAGGTTCCCCCCCCCACAAATTTGAATGGAACCGGAAAAGAAAAGAACGTCCTTTTTAGAGGAACTTGGAGCCCTTTTTCTTTTTTCAAAAAGCTATCTTCTTAGAGGAATCCCCTTTTGGGGGGACCCCTTTTTGGGTGCCTTCCATTCATTTGGGAAGTACGTCCCAGGCGCGCCTCGTCAGGTGGCATTCGTCGGACCTCATTCGCGGCCGCGGTCGGGCAGCCACCTCTTTGCCCAAGGATCCTTACGGGATCTCGTTTCCAGCGACCTCTTTGACCTTCAACTCGTTTGAAGGAGGCTTATAATTTCAGAACCCTATCAAGTTTGGTTGGCAGACTTTCAGGCGCGTCATCCCCTACTTGAGCCTGCTGGTCGCCATTGTGACAAAACTTGCGTTCATGTCCTGAATCGTGACGTTCATCAGGACAGATGAAGTTGGCGTGACCTTGTGAGTCGGAGTATGCAAGGACCGCGACGGGCACAGACTGCGGCGAATCCCGCATTCGCCATATTTGATATCTCAGAACACCCCGGTTGCTTGGTGGATGTTCGGCTGCCAACCAAAAATTCAGAATTCCAAATGAAGCACATTCCGCGAGCTTCACCCGAATTGGTGTCAGGGGATGGTCTTCCATTTGTCCCCAGGGGTTCAAGGCCAAGGGGCACCCAACCCTTCTGTTGGCTTCCTGCTGCACATTTTCGAAACGGTTGCCAACTCACCTGTCCAAAGGACTGGGAAATCAAGGCTGATCCTTTCAGCCAAAAAGGCTTCGCAGCCAAAGAGGTAAGCCTTTGGTCTGCCAACTTTTCTGAGTGCTTAATACATGAAACAAGTAGAAATTCTGCCGCCAGCGAGTTCTGCACCTGTTCATGTTCCTGCAGCTTGAGAGCAGCCGAAAGAGGCGGCACCCCGTTTCGCACACCAGAATTTGTTGTTCAACTACCCCCTACTCCAGATACCCGCTTTTTCTATATGAACAACCTGGGCTTCCGTGGTAAATACCTCCATTTTTAGTAGAGGGCCGACATCATACCCTGAAAAAACGTTGGGGGTACACATCGCCTTGGCTTCCTTAGAGAGACCAAGCAACCACCAACTCATCTATCCCCGTGACGAGGAGTTCTGAGTGCTTTGCTTTGTTGAGGCAAATGCAGCCAAGGAGCTGAAATTGTGAGGTCCAAAATGCGGAACCCTCCAAATGATGGTTTGCCTTTTGGTTCACTTTAGCATCCCCAAATAAATTACCGTCCAAAACAAGACAGACCCATTCTTCTACTAGTAGTGCTCGGAAAATCTTGCTTACCCTTCCAGCGACATGGAGTGTTTTGCCTTTGAAATGAACAAAGCACCCCATCCCCTTTTGGCTCCCTTTCGGGCACAACAACATATCTCCCTAAAGGACTCGAACACAAAACGTGGTCACTTTCAGGGGCCGCGACTTGAAATAGACAACCAAAGGAGAAACCGAAAGCTGGGAGAAACAGTGATGCCACCTGTGACTACAACAATTCCCATGAACCAATCGAAACAAATCTCCAAACTAAATGCCCTCCCACAAAGATGCAACCTGATGTTTTGGGCTCCTTCCTCTAAACAAATGACCTTGAAGGAGTATTTCTCTGGTGGGTTCCATGGCAAAATCCGCCCGGCCTTCACCAAACCGCGCGCGGGAGGAAAGCTGGGCGCATGGCGACAGATCCCAGCACCGCCAACACCTGGCCCCGGGCTGAAAGTGACCCGAAAGGCGGGGGAGAGCCACGAGTTTTTCCGGCTCGGGAGCCCTGTGGATGGGTGCGAAATCCGCTTCTCGCACCACTTTGAAACCATGGTTGAAACCGTAACGTTTGTTGGCATTTACAGGGGAATCATCAGAGGTGGTGCAGGATTTCGTCCATCCACAGTAAGTCTCACTTCCGATCGAGTGGAACTGGCCAAACAAACGTCAGCAAACTGTTTGTCTAGTGAATGGTTTGTGGGTTGACAATTTGGTGAAGAACAGAAGTGATAGTAGAAAAAGGGGGCCTGAACGTGGGTTGCCTGCTAAGACATGGCCATGGAGGTTGGCCAGTGGAAAAAAAAAGGAGACAGGTGCCGAACCGGACCTAGGTCCTCCAGTAGAGAGGAGGAATAAGAGTAGGGGGACCTAGGGATGCAACTCCAAAGGAGTTGCCACAGGCCTGGGGGTAGGAACAAGCTTCCAGTGCACCTTTCAATTCCGCCAGCTCGTAAAATTTTGACGGAAGAAACCCTTCCGGCCAGTACGGGTTCCCTGCCAAAAGTCGTGAATCCCCACTAAACCCATGCCCCTAGTAATAATGTTAACCAGGCGGGTCTCTGGAAGTTGGGGGTTGATATTGACTCAATTCTGTGAAGAACTTGTGGCTACATCACGTCTTGGAGAACGGCGGGCAGGTTTATGAATACCACTTTGACGGGAGCCAGCATGTCTCAGGTGGGTCCCTGTTTGAATGGACTTTTGCAGGTGGCAAACGTCGCAGGTCCCACTGACTTTGTGGATGTGTGGTTCCATGTTTACTTGTAACACGCTGTTTGGTTTTGAGGGTGCTCTTGTTTGGAAAAACAACAAGGGGGGGGTTCACTAAAACAAGACACACCCAAATCAGGCTTTGGCTCACTGTTCAAGCTTCTGCACCTTCCGGGGCGGATGGCCTCCACAAAAAGGCAAAAGGAAGCACGAACTGGACACCATCGGCCTTTGATGGAGTGACGTCACCCCACCAGAAGGAAGCTCACTTAATCTTGTTGCGCCTAGCTAAGCTATCGACACTGCCCTGTGCAGCTATCGTCGCCTTGGCCCTGCACCGTTTAGGCACCGTTTACTCTGACTCAAAAGGGATATCTGGGGACTGCTGGTACTTGTGCGTGCGGACAGCTTGGGTGTGAACATCACCTAAACTCAGTTGCCCAAAGGACCCAGAAATCAATGATTAAGCTTTTGGGCCATAACTAGACATAGAAACGGTCAGCACTGCGCAAGCGAGTAAATGAAGCTCACTTCAAAGTGGCAACCAAACCGCACCTAATGGTTGGCTCCGATGGAAACACGGCCTCTTAGTTGGAACAAATGTTGCCCAAACTGCGTGCCAGTTCGGATGTGAGGGTGTTAAACGTTTCAAGTTTACTTTGGTTCCATCCAGCACTGAAAGCACAACACTGCAACACAAGTTACAAAGCTCGGTACTTTGCACCGCGGCTCACGTGGCCACGGGTTGACCCGAAGCGGACTGCCGAAAGGGGGGCCCATTCCCCATGCTCACATCAGCTGAAAAGAAAACTCACTTCACTTCTGGTTGTGACTTTGTTAGGGAAACTCACATGGCTTCTAGTTTCAACTTTTAAACCCACAAGCAAAGGGGTACCAACTCCAAAAAAACGGATCCAAAACTTGGTTGCTGTTGACCCCCCTGCAAAAAGTTTAACCTTTTGGGGGTTTAGTGGAAAGCCCCTTCATTTCCCAAAAAGTTAAAGCCTAAAGATCCAACCCAATAGCAGCCAAGACAAGGGGAAACATAGGGAACCCCAGTTTGGCACCCTCAGCACGCCTCCCGTCTCTGATTTCTTCCGAAACTGCCTGACCCTGGGCATCCGCTAGCTGCACGCAGCTCCCGCGGCCTCAATGGAGATGGGTGCCTTTTTTGTTTGAGGGTATCTTGTTCTGTTTTTGTTTTTTGCCAGGAAAACCAGAAGGAAAACCGGACTTCATGCAAAAAATCACTAACCCCCATGGTCTGCTGTTTAGTGGTTTTTGCCAAACCAAACGGAACACCGGCTACTTTGGGGGTCCCCTAAAAAAGACACGCATATGACGAAATCCACGTGAGGCTGGCGGTTTCTTACAATATAGGTCCATTGGGGGAATTTCCCGGGAGTCATTGGAGGAATCATGACTCGTCAGTGTTGATAAATGAGCTTCCCGACTAAACCCCCCTACAGGAACCGGTACAAGAACCGGGGCCCGTTCAGGTCCAACAAGTCCAAATCCAAAACCCCGCGCTCCACCAAAGTTGACGCTACCCTTCTCACAAGCAACCAAGGAAACCAATTAAACGGTCACCAATTCAGGGTTGAAAGGGACCTTGACGCCTTAAGCCTCACCAAGCTTACTAAGCTTTGGATGGGTCACGCCTTGAGCTTTCACTTCCACTGGCAAAGGTCCAAAGGTGAAGGCGTCAAGGTCCTGACCTGTCACCAAAGCCAGAAAGCTTACATCTGCTTCAGCCCCCCTGGAAAGAATGAGAACATATTTCCAGTCGTGATGGATCCATCAAGTTTTGTTTTTCCCCAACAGCTGAAAGCTGGGGTCTCAGCCCAGATAGGCTGCGGGGTGGTGGTTCTGCAAGGGTTGCGGGGTGGTCTGGGGTGGTTTGAGGTTGCATGGCTTCCATGCAGCTTCGACCAGGGCTCCACCAGGGTTCCACCAGACTTCCACCAGGTTCTGCAAGGGCTGCGGGGTGGTCCGGGGTGGCTTGAGGTAAGGTTCCATGAGGGTTCCTTCCACCAGGGTTCGACCAGGGTTCCACCAGGTTTCCACGAGGTTTTGCAAGGGCTGCCCAAGATTGTTTCAGCGGTTTCGTGAAGCTTTTCTCAGGGTTCCACCAGGGTTCCACAAGGTTCTGCAAGGGCTGCGGGATGGTCCGGGGCGTCACTGAGGTAAGGTTCCACAGGGTTCCACAGAGTTTCACAAGGATTCCACAAGGAAAAGCCATCGGAGCAGCACATCGCAGCACATCGCTTTGCTTGGTTTTCAGCACACTTTCACTGCTTTGACCAGACAACGCGAAATGTTGGCTTTGTGGGAAATCAGATCACGCTGCGGGACTCACTGTGCAGCAGAGTAAATGCCCGATTGCCCGATTGCACCGTCGGGCTCCGATCGGGGCCCGACAGAGTCGGGCCCCGTCACCTGCCAAGCTGGCATCGCCTAGTTTTGCTAGATACAGTTGTAAGGCCGCATCCTGAGGAAAACTGGCGTTGAGATGGCGTTGAGCTATAATAGGGTGGCTGGGGTTGGTGGGAGCCCGCTTGCACCATCAGGCCCCGGTCGGGGCCCGCCATGCTCGGGCCCCGATTGCAGCGTCGAACCCTGATCGGGTGAGGTGGGTCCCAGGTTCCGCGAGGATTCTGGGAGGGTGTGGTGCTGGGGATATTGCCCGAGCCTATTGTTTTAAACAATCTTCAGCAAATAGTCCTGAGGGGCCTTCTTCCCATGGTTGCAACCCCTTCCTTAGCGGCCTTGTTCGGCAAATGGGAAGGGCTCGCGAGAGGCCGCTGGCCAGAGGCCAAATTCAACTCAGGGCCCCGCAGGTCGAGTGCACTTGCCATGCCTGTAC